AATTACATGATGGCTTGCTTTTTTACTGCAGCGTCTCTGTGCTGACTAACAGTCCCCGAGTGTTGTTGGTCACCTTTCCAAATCGCCTCCTAAGCACCCTGTAAAACTGGCAAACCATGAATTGTGGATTTAACAATGCCAAGCTATCATTTCCCTATTACGCCTGCCAAAAACTGTCAGAGCGGATAGCCTGTCATCCTAGATTTATATTTTTAGATATCGAGCTTTATCTTACTCTCTCTCAAACTCCCATAATGCCCTGCTTCTCTCTCTCTCCTTGTTTCTACTCTCCCTCTGACTGCTGCAGTCTTATTTTCCTCCTCTGTGCACTTCATAGCACTGTTGGATCCCCGCCATCTGTGCCTGGTGCCCAGTGTGTATGTGTGCAGTGCATACCTGGACTGTGTGTGTGTGTGTGTGTGTGTGTGTGAGTGTTTGAGGGTCGTTAAACTTGCTGAGACAGCCAGGGCAGCACACAGGTTCTCCCGGCTTCAGCACAGTTCACTGGGTGAGGAATGGCTTTGCACAATGCCTGCCGCGCTGCCAAGTGGACTAGACTCACTTTATTCTCTCCCTCCCCGCCTCCATCCCTCCCCTCCCCTCCTCTGTTTCTCTGTCTCTATTACCTCTCTCTCTCTCTTTTGCAAAATTCTGCTTCCCTATTTAACTGTTTTCCGTCTTTGTCTTCTTCCAGGTAACACCATGATGATCATAGAGGAGAGCATGTCGAACGGATCATTAGATTCCTTCCTTAGGGTAAGTTTATGGGGTCTTGTTTGTTCCTTGTCTTAAATAGAGTTTTTCTGATTGTGTTTGGAGGTAATGGCATCAAATACTGCTTAAAACTGGTTTCCTGCATTGGCCAGTATACCAGTAAATCCATAGATCCTAAACCACAACCTGTTAGCCCCACAAATCAACAGTTTTCAGATGTAATATTTAAATCCCGACCGATTCATCGTCCGGCCGATTCATCGTCCAGCATATCCAATTACTATCGGTATCGGCTAATTTTATCGCAGCTATATGGCGATATTACGAGATTTATTTATCGGCCCAAATAGCATTTAATTTGAGTTTTTGTTGTATTACACTAGCAGTTCTCAGTCACCAGCAGAGGGCGCTATATGGATTACAACGAGTAGTATCACATGCGCAGTTATGTATGTAGGTATGTCTTTCCCACAAGTGTTCAATAACTGCATTTGAGGGCTACATGTGTGAATCTATATCTATCTCTACGGATCGAACAGAGATAAAAGAAAGATATTGGCCAATTTATCGGTATCAGATTTTTTTTTTCCCCCAAATTTGAAAATCGGTATCGGCCCCAAAATCTGATATCAGTCGTGTCCTAGTATTATTGTGTGAGAACAGGACACAACAAGAGCATGGTGTAATGTAAGTAAAAGCTGGCAAATGTCCACAATGAAGTTCATTTCCACCAACACTTTGTACATTTTTTACCATCATACTGGTATAAGTAAATCTGTATAGTATGTTCATATCATCTCAATAAGTTATCAACCTGTACAATATGTCCATTCTGTATATTATCTGTAATCTAGTAGAGCATGTTCACTGCACCTTAATCTGTATATTATTATCTGAAAAATATACTTATATTTATAGCATTTATTTATATTATAGCATCCCATTAATCCAGCCATATATACCCAATAATTCACATTTTTTGTCTACATCTGTAAATTCTGTAATTACTGTACATAGCACAGATTCTTGCACTTTCTGCTTATTGCAATTCTGGTGAGATAACAAACCTCATTTCGTTACTCTATACTTGTGTATGTGTAATGACAATAAAGTTGAATCTCATCTCATAAGAGGGATGTTCGGTATCCAGCAGCACTCAGTGATAGGCATCAGAATATTTAACATGAAGGAAAAATAACTAAATTAAGCCTCATCATGATCTTCTCTTTAAGAGCCAGCGAGACATTTTTCCTCGTATAAATCCAAATGATTGTAGCGCAGTCCCAAGGCGCAGATGCTTGTGCTTATTATGATAATAAGGAAAATGTGGAATAATTAACCGCACAAATGGAGTGTTCCCGCTTTAAGATGCTGTAAGCTTTCTATAAACTGTTATTGTGCCTCTCTGCTCTGTGAACCACCGCCGCGTGCTATATAATGATATGAATTAATGGCCTGTTTGTTTTTATTCTCCAAATAAAAGGATTCGGCTCAGTGAGCACACAACATTGTTCAGTAGTAACAGATGTGTCGTGTTTTTTTTTTCTTTCCTTTTTCCATTCAACCATCCTTCCTCCTCCTCCTCCTCCTCCTCTCACCTCTCTCTCTCTCGTTTCCCATCTTTCTTTGGTTCCTTTCCTTTTCCCTCCGATACCCTCAGAAACACGAGGGCCAGCTGAGTGTGATGCAGCTGATGGATATGCTGACCGGCGTGGCATCGGGGATGAAGTACCTCACAGAAATGGGCTTCGTTCACAAACGGCTGGCTGCACACAAGGTGAGGTAGCAGGTGGGGAGGGATGTGTGTGTGTGTGTGTGTGTGTGTGTGTGTGTGTGTGTGTGTGTGTGTGTGTGTGTGTGTGTGTGTGTGTGTGTGTGTGTGTGTGTGTGTGTGTGTGTGTGTGTGTGTGTGTGTGTGTGTGTGTGTGTGTGTGTGTGTGTGTGTGTGTGTGTGTGGGAGGGCTGATGTATGTCTCAGCCTAGTGCAAGTTTTCACAGCTGAGTTACAGACCACAATTCGTCCTTGTCTGCAAACATCTTTGATAATCACTTGCCTGTTGGTTTTTAGGTGAAGCTGAACACAAGAAAGTGAAATGACAAGGCGATGCTGTCAGAAGAGCTCGGGTTTCATCGTGTGAAGTTTTACCATAAGAGTCTGTCCGTCAAACTGAGAGAGCAGAAAATGAAGAAGAGAGGGGTGTACTACCAAGCAGGCTTTCTTTATGTTCGCTGACTCTACAAAACCTTAAAAATAAGGGGGTTATGGACTATATACAGGCCTGAATTACACACAAGCACAGACAGGACCTATAGCAGTGGTGTGGCGGTGGCTGAATAATAATTATAACTTTATTTATATAGCACCTTTTAAAAACACAGGTTTACAAACAGCAAAAACAAGAACAAACTAAACCAAACACAGAAGAACATAAACAACAGCAAGAACAAACAAATGCAAAATACTAAAAAATTATTAAATACAATTCAACAGAAAAGAACCCAAAGTGCACGATACCCAACAGACATATATAACCTGACCATCACAAGAACCATTATAAGTGCCCAAACCAGAAGTGGATATACTATTAATTCCCCCCAAATGTTTTTTAGGTGACCCGTACTGCAGAGGAAAAGCAGCCTTTGTTATAAACAGTGACATGTGAGAATACTCGTGCACATTTAGTGAGTTCATAGGCCTACAAGTCAATCAGAGACAAAGTAGGGAGGGTCAAAGTACTGAAAATTGTCAATAAATCAATGGTGTGAATCAGATGGGATTAAGAAGTGGGCATACTCTATGGAGACTGAAAAGTGGGTATACTCTGAATACCTACACTACATCACTGACCTATAGACATGCAGTTTTTTAATGGAGCGATGTCAGGGCGAGGGCGCTGCACAGGGACTGACAGCCAAGCCGTTGGGGTTCAGTGCCCGAAATAAATGACGATGCTGTTGACGAAGGTCTTTTTAAATTAGTCAACTATGACGACAACGAGACGAAACTCCGCTATTTGATGATTTGATAAATAATATTACTTCATCATCTAATTGACGAAAATGTTATGAAACCAAAACTACATTACAAGTGAGGATTATCACGTTTCCCCCTCAGCTGTTCTAAAATCACTGTAAACCACAGCAGACTTCATCAAAGATGTGTGTGTGTGTGTGTGGTGAGTGCAGCAATGTGGAGCCTCTCGCCTGCAGGTCTGTGTAGCCCCGCCCCCTGGAGCTTCTGATAATCAAAATAAAAGCTTGCGTCTGATTTTGTTGACTAAAATAACTTCTATTTTCGATGTGCAATCTTAGTCAGTGACTAACTGACTAAATTAAATCAATAACAAATGACTAATATCTGACTCATTATAAAGGACATTTTCGTCAGGAGACTAAATTAGAAAGTGGTGTGAAGATTAACACTGTCTCCAACAATCCCTACAGACTGTGAGTGCGCCCTGAATGGCAAAAATAAAAGTTCCCATTAACACCAGCATTTAAGAAATCTCTGCATCAGAAGTTTCCTTTTTATCCAGTGGAACATGTTCTTCAAATCAATAAAACAAACAATTGTTGATCTTTTTTCCAGCTTTCAGTGAACAAAGTAAATCTTCATTTTACTTTTTGATGCCCCCTGAACTCATGACACCTCCTTCTTCTACACAAATCGGGTGTTTGTTGTATAATAAGAACTTTGCACTCCAGTCCGCGGAGCCCTCATTACCTCCGATTGTAACCAAAACTAATCAGTGTGTTTTCTCCATCTCAGGTTCTAGTTAACGCCAACCTGGGCTGCAAGGTGTCTGGCTTCAGACCTCTACAGGAGGACAAGATCGAGGCAATCTACACCACACTGGTAAGAGAAAACATTCCCGGTTAATAAGCCTGTTGTATGGATGTAATTTCTAATGAGCTTTGGTCCAGATGAGAGCTAACACACGTCAGTGCAGCCGAGGTCACATAATTAAGCCGTAAGAAAGAAACACATTCCAGTGTTTGATTTCCCTGAATGTTTTCGAAGGTGAACCCACTCGCACTCGAGATTCTTTTGATCTACTCAAAATATGTTCAAAGCTTTTCAAAGAGAATATTAAAGCCTTTACTTTCCTGAACTCTCCGCACCCCCGGTCTTACCGTTACCGTCCTTTCCTCTGCTGCAGCACGGAGGGAAGAGCGTGGTGCTGTGGAGCGCTCCGGAGGCCATCCAGTACCACCGCTTCTCCTCCGCCTCCGACGTCTGGAGCTTCGGCATTGTCATGTGGGAGGTCATGTCCTACGGAGAGAGACCCTACTGGGATATGGGCAACCAGGATGTAAGTGTGTGTGTGTGTGTTGGAGAGATAGAAGGGCACTTTTCATTAATCTCTCCCTCCATTTTTCATATAATATCTGCACTTTACCAGTCTCTCTCTCTCTCTCTCTCTCTCTCTCTTTTTCACCTCCTCCTTCAATGAACTCCATGCCCAGCGTGGATCTTATTAAAGAAAAGCCAAGAAGCCACAGTACCTCTAAAAGCTTTCACAGGGTCTAAGTCCCCCTCTTTAAGTCTGCATCAGCTCCATGACCAATCCTGTTTTCTCTTAAGGACGCGTTGACCCCCTTCTGGTGGCCTCCGCCTGTCCTCGAGTGCCATCCTGCTCTTAAAGAAATCCCCTCTGGAGGGAATGCTTTCAGAAAATGTAAAGCACTTACTATTTAAAGGGGTTGAAGAGATGGTCCAGCAGATAGGACCCCGCTGCTGCTTGTCGCTAGCTAACTATAATTTGCTACGTGGGTGGATGCTCTGTTTTGTTTTTGCTGTTGTCACTCCTGCTTCTTTGTCCTTCAAAATTAAAAAAAGGTTGCTTTTTGCATGATGCAAGTCTGCCAAAGACAGCAGACTGTTCTGTGTGACTGTGACGTTTTATTGAAGCTGACAAACACAGAGGACGCTGCAAATAATGCTTAAATGAATCAAAACATTTTAGGGTCTAAAGGTGATTAAAACAAAATCACAAACTGTGTGCATTCATATGAAGCGATGGAAGAAGAAGTAGCTCAATCGTGTTCACGACAATTTGTTTGTTTCACCTAAATGTTCGATTTAGTCGACATAGTAATCATTAAGATCATAGGTGCTGCTTGGCAGGCAACTGCTTGGAGCCCCAGGCCAGTAGGGGGCCCCCCTAAGGGCTGCTAAACTTTAAACTGCAGCAGTGGCTCAAAATGTGCAAGATTTGCAATGACAGTCGGAAACCTCCCCAATGGGGCCCCATCTGACAGCACTCACCCATATGATAGAAAATGACTAATGCTCATCAAGCCCTACATGTGGGGAAAAAAAAACGTGTTTGTGTCGGAGTATTTAGAACATAATGGGGATGAACGCTGTTTGGAGGGGCCCCCTGTGAAGTGTTGCCTTGGGCCCAAACAGGCTCCAAAATCACCACTGATTTAAGACACCAAAAAAAAGCCTCTTAGTCCTGCTCAGACCCGGAACTTTTTTAATGTAATTTGAAATTTTGTGTAACTTTATCTCCATTGGATCTGCAGAGTCCCTCTGCACCTTTAAGAAAAAGCTAAAGACCCAGCTCTTTCATGAATACCTACTAACTTAATGATGATGGTCTCCATATTATTGATGATGATGATGGTAATGACGATGGTTTTTGTTTGATAACGACGACTTATAAGATGGTTTCTATACTGATTAGAGCTCTCAAGAACTGCCCTCAATGTTGTGCTTTGCCTCTGGTCACTTCCTGTCAGCACCTGTGTGTCCAATCAGACTCAAAGCTGATCGTTTGCTCTTACTGACATTGTTCCCTTTTTTCTAGATCCTTGTTTGTGTTGTACTTACTCTCTGATGTACATCGCTTTGGATAAAGCGTCTGCTAAGTGAATTGTAGAATTTATCTTTATTTACTCGGGTCAAACTTGAACAAAATCTTCCGCATCGTCCGGTCCCTCTGAAACTTGGCTCGAGTATTGAAAAACCAAATTAAATTCACAACAGTCCAAAAGTGCAAACAACGCTGCCTGCAGCTTTAATGTTAAAAGTTATTATTGCTCATCAAGTCTAAAATCATGCTAATGCCCTCCCAAATGACTGCCACCCTAAAACAATGCCTACACTTTATTCAGGTGGGCGCTTAAAAGCAACACATTATCATCATGTTCCAAAATGAATATGGATGAGTTATTCAGCAGGCACACCTTTTTTTTGTTTCTGGTGTCCTTTCACAAAGCAGGAGGAAGTTTCCTCTCAGGTTCATATTATCAAACTTTCCAATGGAGCGGTCAAAGGTCAAGCTTGTAGAGTGCCGTGGATATTAATCCTCTCCAAATTGATACATTATATCATAACGGATTTGTTGGTCTGCCTGTACACCTGTGATCCACCGCGACCTTTACCTACCAGCATTGATTAAATGGAAAATGTCAAACGCTGAAAAGCATTTTATGAATGCTCTTTAGTGAGGTAGGAGCTTAAAGCGTGCGGAGAGGGGGAGGTGGAGCGGGGCGCTGGGGAGGGGTGCTGAGTAGAGAAAAGAGAGAGTGTTTTAGGATATAATGTCGCTGATGGATGCCATTTTTGTGATTATGCTTGGACTTGATTTCCTCCTCTCAGGAGATTGTGTGTCTCTCTGTGATTCAGGGGAGAGAGAGAGAGAGGGAGAAAAGAAATCTTTTGTGAGGTGTTGCGATGAATGGAGACAACATTAGTTTGATGGAGGGGAGAGGAACACTGGAGGAAGTCTGGAGCGATGCTTTTTGTGCTCTGCTATTTAAAGACAGTGAGGGTTTTTCAAGGGGGGATGGATGAAACGTGCTAATCTGAGATGAGTCATTGTAGTTAGAAGTTTTATCTCTTGAGAGTGGGATAAGGTAACGAATGAACCAATACTCGCTCTTGTGATGTTTCTTTGTCATGCCTTTTTATTTAAACTCTCAGTCCTGGATGTATGATTGTATTAAAGGAAATGTTTTAATGTTTCCAGCTGATACGAGTTTTGAGATAACTCATCAAATATCCTGTGAACTGGCGCTGAAGTTACATTTCCTCCAGGAGTACCCAGGCTTCTAAAAGGATTTTTGTTAAAGTTTAAAAAATGGTATGGAAACACATCCAGATGTTCAAACTTCTTGCTGCTTTGCCGGCTGCCTGTATAAATCAGAACCACTCAGTGCAGTAAGGTCCCTGTCCCTTTCAGAAAGCATTACCCCGGGAAAATTATTAAATAAAATAAAGTCCTTGGGATATAATCTAGACCCTTTTCTCTGCGTTGGCAATGCACTGGTTACCTCTAATAGAGATTACCGGATTCAGGTCTTTTAGTGTCGTTTGTGCAAGACCTCAAAACAGAGAAGCTGGTCCTACTACCACCAGTCCCTTTCAACTTCCTGCACTAAAACACATGTTAAGGTGCAGAAACACGTTTGTCATTGTTAGGGGAGATCCTGGTGTGTAGGTGACAATCAGCAAACACTAAAAACTTTAAAGGAAATTACATTTCATGGAAACTTAAAGTGACCTTTAAATCCACAGATATAGTCCATCACTGGTAATCGACTCCTCTTGGTTATTTCCTGTTTTCACTTTCAGATAATAATCTTCTATTTACTCTTTAATGTGCTTGTAGCGCTTTGAGTCAGTGCATTAATGTTCACTTTGTTGTCAGCTTGTTTGTTTAGGTTAGCCATATCTCCCCGTGAAATTTCTATCAGTTTGTCATTTGTTTCTGGCGTTCTGAATGTGACCTTTAAATACATGCTGCAGGAATGTAAGTTCAGTTACTAAGAAGGAAAACAACCCAATCCAACACCGGTGTTGGTGTAATAAGTGACGAGAGAAAATGAAAGCACCAGCACTTTTTCAAGTTGAACCTGTGTTCTGTCAAAAGAGTTCTGTTATTTGAACCTAAGTTACTTCACTGTAAAGGGAAAAAAGGTTTTAAATATCTTATTCAACGTTCTCCCATCCAATCATCCATGGAGACACAACATTATTACCTGTAGGACCTTGCTCCTTACATCTTGGTGTCAGATACGACAGGACACTTTGTGATTCATTCAGACTAAAGGCCTCTACAGTTCAGAGATTTTTAGGTGGAACAAATGGGACCTACACGATTTTAAGAAAATGATTAAAGGAGCAATATGTAACTCTGACACCTAGTGTTTAAAATGGGTACTGCAGTCCAAATTCAAAATATTGGAGAATGCAGGCTACCCCCGTCCTTCTTCCGCATTAATCGAGGTGCATGCAGGTTGCCATTTTGTGGACAAGGGAGCTGCAGTGTTTAGCCAGCACTGCCTAAACCTTTCTGTGCTCTTACCGTTTTCATCTCCAATATTGAACCTAGTTTGAGCACATTTCTGCTTGTGGAGTTTATTTGAAACATGCAGAGGCTTGGGTAGAATCACTTCTATCTGAATCAGTTAGCTGAATAGTTTGCCGTTTTCCTTTAAAACCGAGGGGCGTCCAAAACGGCCATGGGGGGGAGGGGGTCCCTTAAAACCGCTTACTTCTCTGGTCAACATACTGCTGCCACATTGTCAGAGAAGCCAACACTTCAACATAGTATATTTCCTTAATGTCTGATGACATAGTATGGTCATTTTATGATTTAATTCGTTAGATATTTTATTTTAAGTGGGACAAAACGTTTTATATTCTCATTACTTTCTCCCATCCGCCCAATCCGTACAAAGTTTGATTACAGGAAAATCACTTTTCCTAGCATGGTTTAATTGTTCTTTGTTCTTTTAGGTGATTAAGGCCATTGAGGATGGTTTCAGGCTGCCGGCTCCAGTAAACTGCCCTCCACATCTCCACCAGCTGATGCTGGACTGCTGGCAGAAGGAGAGGACAGAGAGGCCCACCTTCAGCCAGATCCACTCAGCCCTCAGTAAGAGCATTCGCTCCCCTGATGGCATCGGTTCCTCCACACTTGCACGCAGGTAATATTCAGCCTCAGGAATGAGCGTGTACTTCTCCTATTTCGATGAATTTCCACATTATCAAACCTTTGTTGTCTTCTCTACCAGAACCCTGAGTTCATCCATCACGCTCGCAGAGAGGCCCCTCCCCTCCTTCCCGTCTTTTAACTCAGTGGGAGAGTGGCTGGACGCGGTGGACATGGGCCGTTACAAGGACAACTTCACAGCGGCGGGATACTGCTATTTAGAGTCTGTGGCGCGGATGACTGTCCAGTGAGTGGCTTTATTCAGCTCTGACCTTTCATTTCCTGCTTCAGAGAGTTGCGGCTTTCAAAGATAATAAGAGAGCAGATCATTAAAAAGATAACGGCATGAAAAATAAATGACTGTGGGAATAATGTCCCTCGTTTTAATGAGACAGAATTCTTAATTCTTCACTTTTAGAGATAATATTAGAACACCTAAAGAAAGCCTTCTGTGACAGACCCTCAGGGGGGAAGTAAATACATCAGAGCTGATAATATTAGTTAAGTGAAGTGCAGAAGCAGAATATTTTTAGATTTGGAAAATTAAGAGGAAAATTGAAAAATCGACTAAAGTAACATTATCCAACACATTTCTCAGCATTGTATTCCATTGCTAAATTAAAGACATTAATATAGATATTATTATGAAAAAAACTAGTTTTCAAGTGCTGTAAAACAGGATGAGCAAATAATCGTTAAAGCCACTTTCTTAGTAGTATTTTAAGCTTGTCAATGTCTGAAAATTGACCAGATTTGTCTCTCTTTTTTTTTTTTACACTAACCTTGGTCAATCTTGATTTTTTGCATCCACAGAGACGTTCTGAGCCTCGGCATCACTTCCCTCGAGCACCAGAAGCTGATACTGGCCGCCATCCAGACGCTCAGAGCCCAGGTCATCCAGATGCACGGCCGCGGTGTGCAGGTCTGACAAACAGTTGACGCACCTCGTCTTAAAAACTGCTGCTGCAGACCTACACACGGACGGAGGGGACGGAGGAGAGGAGACGGGGATCTTCCAAACCGAAGCAAAGACGAGCAGATCTACCTGCTGTCGACACTGCTCTATCTACTCCTCCTTCCCATACGCCTTCCTTGATTCCTTCCTTCCTTTTTTATATTACGTAACCCCCTCAGAGACAAGCAGTGTTCTTGTCTCGATTGTGGGGACTGCAGAGGAGTGATGTCATGACTTTTCTTGTGGCCTCTTTCTGGATCAGCGTGTAAAGCTGTCTGAAGCTGACCTCAGAGATGCTGGAAAGGCGTGGACCTTCTAACGCTGCAAACACACCAAGTAATGGACAAGTTACAGCTTGAAGAAACATTCATATTTCGGGTGGAAATTTCCCTTTACCACGACATGAATTCACTAAAAACAATATCTAATTAAAAAGGCAGAAACTCTTCACTGGCCTTTTGAGGAAATAAGTCTCTCCACAGAACCTTAAGAGCTGATTTTAATGTCAAACATGAACTGATTTAGTACGAGGGCACTTAATCATATCATAGCACGAGCGAGCTGATCTCAAATCAGACGTCTGAAGAACTTTTCAGAAGCTCAATCATGGTGAGAGTGGTAGTGAACAGTAAAAGAGGAAGACTGCGCTGTCCCATGACCGGGAAGAGTTGGATTAGGCCTCAAAGACAGGCTGCACCAACATGGCTAGCAAACATCTATCTAGTCCTTTATAACATTTAAAAAGTGTACCTGGTGGGATGAGTTATGAGTGATGATATGCTGAACTTTCAGGAACATCAGCCTGTTAGTTTCTTTTCCTTAGCAGTTGAACGGAAGCTGCAGGAATCAACTGCACAGCGAAAGTTTGAAAAAAAGTGTTTGTTCATTTCTTGTATGTTTTACAATTCTTTGTCATATTTTCTTTCATTTATATGTCTTCCTGTGTGTTTAAAGCATCTAACCCCCCCCTCTCAGCCTGCTGTAAGTCATCTCAGTAACATATCCCCCCCCTTTTCTCGACCATGTTGAAATACAGGCTCACTCTGACGAACGGCCTGATTCAGATATTTACCCACGTTTATTTATGTCTACAGATTGTTATGCAAAACGTCTCCAGAAAGAGAGGTAATAAAGGTTTATTTATTCAGCGAAATATTCAAAAGAAAAACGTCAGCAAAGCAGTTTGAATCTTCTTGTTTTGATGATTTTATTAAGTTTAAGAGGTCATATTATGCCCTTTTTGGGGTTCATATATTTAATCTATGTATCTACTAAAGTATGTTCACAATAGCTAAAGTTATAAAAAAGTGTCTGTTTTCATGAACTGCCGCTCCATGCACCGGCTCGCTTCTGACTCTCTCTCTAAGGCTCTGAAGTGCTCACGTTCAGAGTCCCCAAGTGTGCCAAGTCTGATCTGATTGGTCGGCCTGTCGGCTCTGCCGTAATTGGTCAGTTGCTCAGCACGGTTCTCGAAAATGTTACGCTCCTTTTACCATATTGGGAATGCAGCCACTTCGGCTCCGAGGGGAGCAAAAACATTAGCGCCTTAGCACTACTGTGCTACCAGAGGCTACGGCATATCGTGGGCGTGCTACAGAAGTTTATGGCGTGCAACATGAGCTGCTGGCGCCACAACGAGCCAATGGGCTTAGATCAGTGATCTCACACTGACAAGACGTCACACTGGCAAATTTTTATCGAGGGGCGAGAACCGAGCGTTACATGTAGCTAATGCTGCAGCTAACAGGAGGACGTAGGAGAAGCTGCGTTTACGTGGACTTTGAATTTTTGCACATAGATGTGCCTAAACATGCACAGGACACACTAAAGAGCATATAAAACCAGAAAAAGCATAATATGACCCCTTTAATACATGAAGACGTTTTTTTTGTGAACAGGAAGTAGTGCAAGGAAAGCTGGAGGCTCTGACAGTCAGCACACAGTATCTGTGTATTCCTTTACACTGGTTTTAGTGCAGTTTATTTAGGTTCATTATCATTAGATTAGCTGTAAACATCACTGTGTGTGTGTGTGTGTGTGTGTGTGTGCGTGTGTGTGTGTGTTGCAGACTGGATCGAGAATGTCACATAGATGTATTTAATTTGCAGCTGTTTTGATTGTATTTAAATTTATGTTGCTGTTATCATCATGCTTTGTGGTTGCACTTTTTTTACCCCTCAGAATTCTCTCCTGTACAGTGACTCTCCTCCCCTTGCTTTTGGGGAAGACGTTCATCGGGGAAATATTAGATCATAACACACACTGAAAGATACGATGTTGCAGTGGACAAAACAATTTGTGTACCTGGTTTGTATTTGGTAAAAAAAAATAAAGTTTTTGTTCTTTTTCTCAGTAAATGTTCCGTCAATTTAAATGTCCTCATCAACGTCCCCACACATTGCTGAAGAAACACACAGGTGGTCCCTTTGACGCACACACATAAGAATACAGAGACACACACACACACACACACACACACACACACACACACACACACACACACACACACACACACACACACACAGGACCTCGTCACTACAATGAACTGAAGTTGTCCCCCTTCTTGACTCCCCCCTTCTCTGTTACTGTGACCATTATGATACATGTTGAATACTGTAAATATGTATTTGAAAATGCCAAATCTATTTTTATAATTTGTTTGAAGAACAATGTGTTGAATATAATATCTGCTCACTGTGTAAGGGGTTCTCTCTTTGTTTTGGATTTAGGGCCTATCAGCCTCTCTGTTGTTTGGAATATAAAACTGAAAAAAAAAGGTTCTTTTTGTTAGTTTTTTGATGATTTTTACCTGTTAGAAGAAAATCTGATGGCTGTTGCAATATTGAAAAAGTGTTATTAAAAAAGCTCGGATACAAGCAGATGGTTGTTTCTCATTGTGTTCTATGTCTGACTTAAATTTCTATTATAGCTGAAGGGAAACTGGATTTTCAATGATTGACTGTTGAACTCAAATTGTTTATTAGCCAATTAGATTTATTTTTAACAGGGCTACTATTTTGTGGGGGATATGTTTTTTTATAACTGACAATTACAAAAATATAACAAGGTATTGACTTGTGCGCTGTAGAGGTTTGGGTCCGTGCCTCTTGGTTAATGGTGTTTTGGAGAGCGTTGGAGACACTGAGTTTGCCAAAAATGCGCAACAACACGTGTCTGGAGTTTCCACAATGCTTGTTGTTTATTACAAACTACACATCAACCTTAAAAAGCCCGGTTGTACAGTAAATGAACAAAATAATGTCCACACAAACACTCACACCACTGATGAGCTGAGAGGCAAAAGGAAAGTAGGGCTCAAACTAAACTTCAAGGATAAAAACAAGGCGCCACCTAGTGACATCGCATCCCCTTGTAACTTAGCAACGCAGCATGTCTTAAAGATACATACCACAATTTGAACTGTTACAGCGCACAAGATTATAATTTGTTCACAAAAGATTACAACTTTTGCACACAAAACAATCAGTTAACATTTTTGCTAAATAATCTTGTGTTCTAGTGGCGTAGTCTGAGCAATGTTGGATAAGCTAGCATGAGGCTAACGTAACTGTCGGTCTGTAAATAGAGATACACTATACATCTGTTCATTGCCAATACAAATACTTAATCATTTTAATATTACTTCACAACATATACAATGTCCGTAGTCATCATCGTCCAAAAAATCCGTAGTTAGAAAACATTAAATATTTAGTTTTTTTTGTCATTTGGTTGAACGGGCCCTGAACTTCACGGTAGAAGATTCATTGTCTCAGATTTCTTTGTCTTGCCGAAGGAAACACGGAGACTTCAGTGAGCAGCTGAACAGTTTGGAGGGGGAATGGGGCCTAAATGATAAACTCCCTGGTCACCCTTTAACTTCGCTGCTGGTGTTAAGAAATGAACCGATGGCTTTTAGAGCTCACTCATCCCTCCAACCTTAAGGCTACCCGGATTCTTAAGACTTATCTCTGTATTCAGGGTTAATGCTCTGTATCCACTTACAACACTGTTCAACTCTCAGCTACCTCTCTTCGCTTATTCGGTTGGTTCATGACTTTCTTTTATTCTCTTTCTCTCTCGCTCTCTCTGGGTTTTGAGGTTATATTACTTACTGCTTTATTACACAACACCCACCTTAAGAATAGCACCGAGCGTATGGGAAATTATTGTACATGCAAATTAACTTTCTGCAGGTTTGCTGTGGGCAACTGTGTGGGTGTGAAGAAGTGAGTGTTCTAGTGTGGGCTTCTGTTCCTGCTCACATGGGTCAGTGTGTGTGTGTGCATATTTGTGTGTGTGTGTGTGTGTGTGCGCGCGAGTCCATGGGCATACATTTGAGAATGAGATCTTTTTTATTTATCTATTACAGTTGCAGCAGCGATCCATACTTTTTATATTAAAGTCTTATTGGAGTTGAGATTGGAGTTGGAGACTTAATGAGTTTCATCTCCGAGAGACATCGCTGGCTGCAGCTTTCCAAACCTCCCACGCAATCAAACATCACCTCCTTCAGATGCTGCCGCTCAGTAGACCACCGTGTCTGAACTCTGGTGCAGTTACACTGGATTTGGGTATTCATTATCGGAGGCTTATAGCAGAATTCTTTGCTGCATTCAAGATGTAATGTGATGA